GAAACACTGAGGCGTTTGTAATAAGGTTTAAATTTACTTAATTTGTTTAAATAAAAAATAAATAAAATAAAAAATAAATATTTTTATTTATTTTATAAATAAAACAAAAATATAAATAAAGTTGAGGGACCCTAAACCCTCTCTATTTCAGGTGTATATACACCCGAAAGTTTGTATATTATTTAGGGTTTAGTATTTTAGGGTTTAGGGTTTAGGGTTTAGGGTTTAGGGAGATTCAAGCCGCCTCCAAGCGTCTCCCGTGTTGTTCAGAATGTAGCAGCAGCAGCAGCAGCAGCAGCAGCAGCTGCTGCTGCTGCTGCTGCTGCTGCTGCTGCTGCAGGATCATCATCATGGTCAGCAGCAACAAATTCTGCTGCTGCAGCTGCTGCTGTTGCTGCTGCTACTACTCCTACTACCACTGCTGCTGCAGCTGCTGCCGCTGCAGCTACTGCTGCTGCTGCTGCTGCTGCTACTGCTGCTGCTGCAGCTACTACTGCTGCTGCAGCTGCTGCAGCTACTGCTGCAGCTACTGCTGCAGCTACTGCTGCTTCTGCTGCTGCTGCTGCTGCTGCAGCAGCTGCTGCTGCTGCTGCTGCATCACAAGAAAGCTTTAGCTAGCTGCTGCGTTTGTTTTGTGTTTGTTGCTGCTGAGGGGTGGGGTGGGTCTTCTGGGGGCCCCTGGGGGCCCCCCTGGGTTGCTGCTGCAGTATAAAGACAAAAGGAGCAGCAGCAGCGCCAAGGGTTTAGAGAGAAAGCTGCAGTGTACGTACACCCCAATAAAAATATTTATAAAAAATATTTATGTTTTTGTTTGCTTGTGTTTTGTTTTTCTCTTTGTTTACTTTTTTTTTTTTTCTTAGGTTGTGGTGCCTATGTAAACCCTAAACCCTAAACCCTAAACCCTAAACCCTAGAAGAACTCTCTATCTATCGGTGTATGGCAATACAGCGTCTGTGTGAGGGTTTCTCTAGGGTTTAGCGAGCTACAAATATAAATTAAGGGTTTAGGGTTTAGGGTTTAGGGTTTGCGTACAGGGGTTTAGGGTTTAGGGTTTAGGGTTTAGGGTTTGCGTACAGCTTGTATCAGAGCGTTGCTTGTGTCTTGCTGCTGCCTCCACTTGGTCGCGTATACGACGCAGCTGCTGCATTGTCTGCTGCTGCTGCTGCTGCTGCTGTTGCTGCTGTTGTTGCTGCTGCTGCTGTTGCTGCTGCTGCTGCTGTTTCTGTTTCTGCTGTTGCTGCTTCTGTTGCGGCGGTTGCTGCTGTTGCTGCTGCAGCTGTTGCTGTCGCTGCTGCTGTTGTTGCTGCTGTTGCTGTTGCTGTTGCTGCTGCAGCTGTTGCTGTGGTGCTGCTGCTGCTGCTGTGCTGCTGCTGCTGCTGCTGCTGCTGCTTCTAGAGCCCTGCTGCTGTCGGCCGCCTTCCCTTTGGTTGAGGGTTTAGGGATTAGGGTTTAGGGTTTAGGGTTTAGGGTGTATGCAGCTAAACCCCTAATACAAATGAAACCCTTGACGCAATAACTTTTGCTGCAGCAGGGATCTAAGCATAGTTTGCTCTAGGGTTTAGGGTTTAGGGTTTAGGGTTTAGGGTTTAGGGTTTAGGGTTTAGGGTTTAGGGTTTAGGGAGGGTTTAGGGTTTAGGGTTTAGGGTTTAGGGTTTAGGGTTTAGGGTTTAGGGTTTAGGGTTTAGGGTTGTTTAGGGTTTAGGGTTTAGGGTTTAGGGTTTAGGGTTTAGGGTTTAGGGTTTAGGGTTTAGGGTTTAGAGGGTCGAGACACTGCGATGCAGTCCTCGCGTGCAGGAGAAAGGATAAAACTTAAAATATATTTATAAAAATAAAAATAAAAAACAAAAAAAATAAATAAATTTATTTTTATTTTATTCTTTTTATGCATGCACGTCTCGCTGCATGCGTTTTGG